CCCAGGCCATATAGTTTAAGGTACTCCATCAAATGGGACAAAACTGTCCTGCATGCAAATGAAGACCAACCAGTATAACTCACTGATATTGTGTTCCTCCTTGGTGCTGATTGGCCATCTCTCACTTAATCATGACTCACTCACTAAAAATGACTGATTCTTACTGAAATGTTTAAGCTTTCTTTGAAGTGATAGTGACAATCACATTTGCCACATTGCTCCATTGAGTATTTATACTACCAGTATACATGATTTAGAAAAATTTATTCTATTTCCAAGTTTTTACTAGGAAGTAGATAATTTATGTATGTGATGTAGCAAATATATCATTAAGGCCTGCATACCTTTGGTCAATTTCAAGTTTTGCATCAAACCCAAGCAAGTCAGGTCAATCACAAGAAGGCAGCCAGTGGGGGTATTGACCATTGTAAAGGTCAAACCACAATGCAAAATTGTTTTATCAGAATTGGGTTTTTCATTGTGATTCATCTGACAATTTCAGCGCAAATGAGGTCTTCACAGAACATTGGCTCTGGCTACCTTGGGTCAGAACCGTTCTATATTGACCATTACATGAAGTTCTCATTGCAAGTCCCAATAGAGACATTCAATTGTTACATATGTAGTATTGTGTCTCTATTGTGTACAAAACATAGGTGGATTGAGACTCGTGCCATGTAATTATAATGACAAACCACATCTTTAACCCTCAGTATAATTGGCTACGTTTTGACAAACTATAACTTGCAACATCATTTGTCATTAATGTCGTTTTAATAGTTCAGGTACATCTTTCAATGCTGGAAGATTCAAATGGTTTCTGCTGCATTATAAAACTCACATTAAGATACTCCCTGATTTCCAGAAGATACACTTCCTTATAGTAGACCCAGCTCCCAGAATTCCCCATGTACATCTGTTCAGCACAACTCAATTCTTGCTGTAATGGGTTATTCATCTGGGCCATTATGTTGCCATGCCAACTTGCCAATCGTATTGATTTGCCACTCACAGGGGATTGGGAAATGTCTGCATGGAATTAAAGCCTACCGTACACAGGATTACCAATAATAAACTTTGTAACAGCCATTGATTTCCCTTAATGTAGGAAATGCCGCTGTGTGTAGAGATATCCCTTTGGTGGGATGGCGCGGCCTTTTCCTGTTGCACTTTCTTCTATGTGAGACAGACGTCTGCCCTGCAGTTCCGTTAACTTAAGTTCCTTTCAGTACTACAAAAGAGGGCGAGAAATCATGTTTTCATATAAATGATAATGTTACGTAATACGCACCACTATGTTTTGAGTAATTTTAGATTCATAGTTGTTTCAACAACTTCAGTCAATGTTTTCTATTCCAATGTGTTTCACTGACAGTATGTAAATGAGCAATTCAGACATCTGGGTACAATATGCTTCTTTGTGCAATAAACTGAACTGAGGATAAACCTTACTTGATCCAAGAAAGTCCTTTTTAGAACAACAAAATAATAGAAATACACAAAAAGCAGAGCTTACTCCAGTTTTTGGTTGCATCTCTGAGCTTGTAACATTACAGTGTCTTCACCCTGGAATCTTGTCCTCCTTTTTCTCACGTCAATACCTCATTGGGGCCAATTACCTGTCTTAACCAGCTAAATCTGATGGGTAAGTACCAGCCCCAAGACATGGGAAGGAGTCATGCATAATTCACCACTCCTGCCACACCCAACAGGTCACAGCTAGTAGCTCAGATTAATCTTTTTGCAATCTTTAAAAATGTTACAGAGGACAAATCTTGTAAAATCTGTAACTTGGATGTCGTTACAGGCTCTCCATAATTCCCTTTCATAGATAAAGGCCAAAGTAAATAGTAGTCATACTTATCTGTAATCAACAGTTACTACTGGAAAACAATGGGCAATTTTTAGGGGAAGGAAATGTGTTCCATCATGATGTTCCTGTAGAAGTCATGGTGTCATTGAATCATAACCCATGAAGGACAGGGACTGCCCCGAACAGTACTTTTCCCCTTTGTACTAATCTATCTCTTGCAGAAGCATGCAGGGCAGACCTTTCAAACAAGATTACCAAGGGATTCTGTCACAGCCATTCAGACCCTTTTTACAAGGTTACAATGCATCTACATTAAGTGAGCTTGTGCACCATTTAGCCAGTCTTTGGAATCACAAAACTGAGCCGTCGGAGCCATTAAGAGAGAGGAGACTATCACCATATATGTCCCAATTGAGACACATGGGAATTAGCCATTTACAGAAGGCTAAATCACATTGCCAATAGTCACTAGTTATCTTCCCCCCAAATCTTAATGTCTGAAGCCTTAATCCATGGAGGGAGTTAGTTAAACATCAAGATGGGATAGATGGAGAGTCAGACTGCAGGGGTCCTACAGATGCCTTTATTCTGAATTAATTCTCAGTTAGCCTGTCCACTGTGGATATACATTGTATAAATGATAAAATGTATGTCAGGAGTAGCCAGCTCAAGAGCAGTAAAGAAGAGCTAAGACTGAAACCGTGTTAACCAAGCAGAGTTTTGGTTACTTCAATAATATTTCAATCATCATATGCCTGACTGTACCACTAACTTTGTGCTTTGAAACAGACAAGAGAAATTTTGCCTGGCTAGGTAGTCCCGTTTTAGGGTCTAGTGGATGTAACAAAGAAAATGCTCTGTGTAAACACACTAGTCTATCTAAAAGTTCTAACTGCTGCAATGTTTTCACATTTACTTGAGCTTAGTCAGTATGTCAAGGGTTCAAGCTGCCAATATTTCCACCAGAAAAGCAGGATCATCAAAAACAAACTGGCTTTTCACTCTAATTCCTTTGGTATTGAGTGTTATTCAGCATCATCCCCTGACTGCTGTTAAGCATTACTGAGTTAGAGATCCAATATCTTCTTATCAACAAATAAATCTTGATGGCTCACATTTTTATTATGCACCTCACCTGTAAACAGGGAGCTGTATGGTTGAACATAGCCAATCACCTCTAATTTTCCTTGAGTGGGTTGTTATTTTTCTTAACTGTTAATATGGCAGCTGTGAGTATGAAATAGCCAGTTGCTATGGAAGATGAACGAGTGTTGTAGTCATAATGTGGCTGACATTTTTATTTCCAGTCCCACTCCTATTAACAGTATACCATTAAACACATCGTTATAGATTCGTGTACTTTGTCCACAAATTATGTACATGTACTTATCAGATAAAAAATAGAGGAAGTGGTAGAAACAGCTAGTGTGATGTTAAAAGAACTTGTAAAACTTAGAATGACTTACATAAGATAACAGACAACACACACAATAGATTCACTGTGAAAGGTTGCTTTGACTTTTGTTTGTTGTCATAGTTTTATTTTAATTTTTGCATTATTGTAGGTCATGGAGTTCTGGTGACAGAATAAGCTTAAAATATTCAAGTGCACAGTCTGAAAATTGCCTTCAGGGAAAGATCAATGATGAAGTGCCTCTGTATTGACTTGGTGGCAGCCATATCATGAATACTTTGATGGTTGGCCATGTAACCATCTATGGGGCTGTGTCTTATTTAGGTTGGAAGTATAGCCATGGTAGCAGGCATTGTGTTGACCGAACACCCAGGGCTTGGCTTGTATTGATTGATTTACCTTTCAATAACTATAGATCTGCAGACCACCTGTACCTCAAGTTCTGGCTGACTAGCAGCTCTTCCTTCAGGTTTGAAAGGTCACAACAATATTCCGGGGCTGCTTTCTATCTTCTATCTAACATTTAGGAACATGATCCATCCTTGGTGCTTATTGACTATCTACTTCGTAGACTCTTGATATGGCATCTTTTTCTTATACCGGTTGGCTGTATCTCAGCTTATCTGTTGATTTGGTATCTCTCCTTGGTGCTGATTGGCCATCTCTTTAGTACAGTGTTTCTCCTTGGTGCTGACAGGCCATCTCTAACTTAAACTCTTGGTACAATGTTTCTCCTTGGTGCTGACGGGCCATCTCTAAGTTAAACTCTTAGTATTTTATTTACTGTGTTATATCTCCTTGGTGCTGATAGGCCATCCCTAACTTAAACAGTTACTGTGTTATTTCTCCTCGGTGCTGAAACTTAAATACTTACTGTGTTTTTTCTCCTTGGTGCTGATAGGCCATCCCTAACTTCAACTCTTAGTGTGGTGTTTCTCCTTGGTGCTGATAGGTCATCCCTAACTTTAACTCTTAGTGTGATATTTCTCCTTGGTGCTGATAGGCCATCCCTTTTGGTACAATGTTTCTCCTTGGTGCTGATTGGCTATCTCTCTTGTTAACTCTCTCATCCTGATTGGACATGGCTGACTCAATTTCTTGTTACAGAAACCTTTAATTCTATCTTAAGTAATTACATTAGTTCCACAACATTCAAGTTAAGTTCTCTCTCTCAGAATGAAGAGAGTGCTTATTTTCTGTGTAGTTAGTACAAGATGTAGGTCTAACATATGTCATGGCTGTGACTACCCATATTTTACAGGAAAATAATCATGATTCTGACATTCTGTGACAGATGATGTAGGTTTGACATCCTTGCTACCTTATCTGTCACTGTGGTTAGGGATGGATTGGGATGAATGGTGGGGTGGAGACATGTTTGTTTCATTTCATTCCCAAATCATGAGTTTGTACAGTCTTTTTCTTCCCATTGTCTTCCAATTATGTTAACATGACCACCTGTCTTTTGATACTTTCAGTGTCTTTCTCTAACACATTGCCACAATTTTCTCCGTACAAAATTGTCAGATTCATTACTTCTGCTATTAACCATGCCTTATTCCTACAGACGGGTGTTGTTAAGTGTAATAGCAGACACAATGAGACCACTAAGGGCTTGCTCTACATGACACCTGTCAAAAGATCTATTGATTTCTCCATACCATCCAGACATTGATCAGTGTGTTCATTTTGTCTGACAAATAAGAAAGTATTGCTTGAGTTGTTGTGCCATAAATCTCAATACGCTGTATCCTGTTTGTGTTTGTTCTTCAGTGCTGAGGATGAGCCATGTCTGAAGGCCTGTATGGACCTGTCTGCATCTTACCTGGTCCTGTCAGACATCACAAGAAAGGTGGGTACTGGGAAAGGCTGTGGAGTTGGTAATACTCCTTGAGATCCAAAAAGCATCCAATTGTGTGTGTATTCTCCCAACAATGACTGTATAAATATATACACTTTTGAATCTTTGAACACCAAAACAACAACTACTGACTACCCATTTCTATCTCTTTTTTGACATTTTTAATGACCATTAACAGATTATGTGTACATGGACAAGCAGAAAAAGAGTGGTTATGTTACATTCACCTTCGCAAGGTAGAAGCTCAGAATCTCCAATGCCTAGTAACTTATGCGCATATTTGACATCTCCAATTGTGGCTGTGGTGGACAACTCCTTCCCCTTACATATTGCTTTAGTTGGTAGCCGGCACTTTATGGCCACCTTTTGATTGAATGCAATAACTCAAGATTTCAGAGCAGCTTAATTGCCTCAACAAGAAGGAAATCACCCTGCTCCAACATAATGCATATTTTTTACGTGCCCCTTCCCTTCAGTTTTATCACTTCCTCCATCCGCTCTGCCCCGCCGGTGCACATAAACTTGCTGAGTGTGATCATCACAAGAAAATGCACGCTGCGTTTATTGCACGCTGTTTTACTATTGGTCACCATCTTTAAGTGCAACGCAAGACAGTAATGTCACTTCACCATTTTAACCTCTGCATTGTAAGCAGCGGGGGAATTATTGCATTCCGCTTAATGGAGTATCCTGTGGCTTGTAATGAAGCTACCTGCAAGACGCTGATGATATAAATTCACTGAACTCTGACATTGCGCCAGTATGAAGGTATTGTGGAGCATGAGATGGCGCTGTTAAAACTTATGAAGGCAATTCAAACATCTGGGGGTGAGACAGGTCCTTTGTTCCTGCTTCTATGCAACTTAAAGAGGCTAACAAAGAGTTACGGTGCCCTCATTCACAGGTAATGTAATTCTCTCATATGCAACATGGAGTGCTAAACCTACAGTGTAACAAGCCTCTGGTCTAAACAAACCGGAATCAATATTACATAAATTGCAGATTTGCAATAATCCACAGGAATGATACTTTAATCTAAAAGCAGACAGTTTGTAGAATTGTAGACAATATTAATATGCATCAGACAAAATAGTCACCTTACTTAGTTCTAAGATCATTTGACTGTATGGTCAGGGGGTATTACAGTATGTATCATTCTATTCGTCTTGTAATATGATGCAAACAGTAAAATCTTTTACTGTAGTTACCATGATAGCATACTGGAGCATGAAATAACTTTTCATATCATGTACCCTGGTTCAAATATCAAAATTTATCACAGTTGGAACAATGAAACATGATCCATAAGATGCAGTTTTTTTTGGGGGGGGGGAAGCTAGTGAATATTTCCTTGTTCTTTTCTTATTCAGTTAGATTATGGTAAAAGCAGCAAGACAAATTTTTATACAGCACTCAAATTTTGTGTACTTCATGAAATATCACTTCATATCAAAGTAAAGGTATGAAAAGTGTGCCATCTCAATGTCCAGAAGCCAGAAGGAATGCCTCCCTTTGACTTCTTGACTCCGCCCTTTGTGTCCATTTTATGCAAGTTGATACATGAAATACACATCTTAACCAGGGGTTGAACCTATTCCATAGGCATTTCTAGCAGATCTTTATTGCTCTCGTATTTTCCTTCGGGGGAAACCCATTTCATCACCGCCAATTGAATGTCAGATTTCTAAGCCTGATGTGTGTAGAAAAGTGGAAGTTATGTTGTTTGCAGGTTTAGTTGAATTGGTTTGCTCCTGGCCAGGGCCTGCTGCTGAGAGATAAGCAAATCCTCCACCATTCTTTACCGTCCGTGTGGTACGCTCCAACCATCCAACTGTACTTAATGTCTTTCTGGAATAGAAAATGTACAGAGGAGCATGAATCAAACATGCAGGGTAAAATGGGTCAGAAGTCCTAACAAAAGAGTCCATTTGATGTGTTTTCACCTTAATGCATCTTGCACTTCTTCCTAAGGGGTTTTGATTTGACAAGCATCCAGTGACCAGTAAGAGCTAAGCAGTTACATTGTACATTCCAAAATGATTCAGAAAATTAAAAAACATCTAGATCTGAGACAAAAGCTTAATAGACTTAGTTTAAAGTGTGAAAAAACACCGTATCTGTGAAGAAAGTCCATTGAATTTAAGGTGTGTCCAGCTATGCCCAGAGGTCATTATAACTGGTACGTCTGCTGGGCTGACCTGTGGCAGGAGCGTCAGAACGCCATTGTGGCCGCGGCGCCCGGCCTCCTCCTGCTGGCAGCTGATAAGAGCCGGGTGCCTCCATCCACACCAAACTGCTGATGAGACTTGTAGATGTTCACCCAGCCCTGAGATAACAGCCATCATGTAGGAGCCAGGCGACCAGTAACTCTAGACTTGCCTGGAGCCTCCAGCATTGCAGCCTGGGACACAGCAAGTTTACAACATGGGGGCATGGGGATCACAAGTAGCCATGGGTCTTGTAAATAGTCCTACAGGACCAATTAGTGTTATTGACAGAAATTGAGCATGTTTGTGTAATTCCTATAGGAAAAGTTAACGACATGGAATTAAATCCAAATTTATTTTTCCTTGTAAACTTGGACGATGATTGCATGAAAATTATTTAACTAATATGGTAAAAACTGCATTGCGTATGCCATTTGTTATTATAAAAAAGTTATGTATGTTTGAACTTTTAAGTTTAGGGATGACATCTCAGTACTCAAGCTACAATTGTTATTCAGTAACCTCAGTACTCAAGCTACAATTGTTATTCAGTAAGGGCCTGACCTATAAGTCATATTATATTCATCAATAACTATTACATGTTGTAAAACCTGACCTTTCCCAATTTCCCACACTCCACATTCGGGGAATTTTCTTATTCCTGCTCTCCTGGGATTCTGCTGCACCTCCCCAGCCTCGTAACTTAGTGCTGATAATGAAACTTCTGAGACGGAATCTGATAAATGTGGACAAGTTACCTTTACTGCAGTCATAAAGTGTTTACGACAATTGACGATAACAACAAGTGAAGCAGCTAAGTGCAAAATGTGCAGGAATATGGCACAGCCGCAAAATGAATGTTCGTAGAATAATAGAGGGTGTGTCATTTTGTTTACCATCACTGTTTGATTTCCATGTTGTTTTCTTTGAAATCATGTTAGTAGTCACTGTATATAGACATGGTCTTGTGTCCTTTGTACAATATCTGCCTGAAGGTGTACATGTATAATGTATAATGTACATTGTACACTTTTACAAGGGAAGATAAAAAAAGTTGATAACTTGACGATGTTAGACAGCTAGTTTTAATGCCCTCTCTCTATCTTAATGAAGATCTTGCAAATTAGCTGAATGAATGACTATTCTTTCATAAATGTTGTTGATTTGTGGGGGGTGTTGGGTTATGACTTGATGGCTTCCATAAACCCCTCGTAAAACAGTGCCAAAGTCAGATTTGCATCTCCACTGAGATTGGAGGGTAGAGGTCTAAATTGTCTGCTTCTCAGCGGGCCAAATTCAAATCAAGTCCAAAATATTAACATACAAGGAGGCCGGCCCTAAAATGATGTAGTCATTGTAAATTTGGTGGACCAACAAGTAGATCCATAAATGCTCACAGGCAATGCAATTACGAATACATGGTTAGATCATAACCATACCAAAGCCTTTGGGTATCCCCATAATGCTGATCTGTATTAGTTAGGCATCAGAATGAGTGTACTTGTGACCAGCAAGGAGCCTTTGATACGGGGGATCTGAAATTCATGCCTGGGGCTGAGTACATAGAGCTGACGTGACAAATAGTGATTGTCAGGAGATTAAAGACGGCTAGAAATTTTGGAACAAGCTCCCCCACAACGAAATGCTTTTTACGCTGCACTTACATGTAATAGGGATGGAGATAAGTCCAGAGGAATGGGAATGACTTCACAGAAGGCACAGTAAAGCTGACAGTGATATACACTCTGCATTGACAAGTAGCTGCCCAGTCAGAAATTTTCATCTCTCTCAGGATTTGATGTGACTACAGAGCGTACCGTATTCAAGCCTGGGGCATGGGAGATAGGAGAGGACACAGATGATAAATACTGAGGATGGAGAGTTTACCTTTATTGTTCCCAGCTGCCCGATGCAGGAGACTGGGCACATTCATGTTTATCTGGGCGTACAATCTTGCATATTGGTGTTGCAGTGTTGGGAGTTTGGTGTGGAGCATAAGTCACCATATCTCTGACTCAGACGTAACTGTTGATGAGATAGCACAAATATTAGTTTTGGTAATTCTCTCCCAATCTGGCAGTATGAAAAATTAAGCCGATATTCTTAGATCAATGGATAGTGCAGCTATTTGAATTACAGATTTTTGTATTATTTACTCTCATGTCAGTGCATTGCTTTCAGAGGGACCTAAAACAGGGATCAAAGATATCCCCTAATAATTCACACTTCTTCAATCAAAGCCACATACATGTTACATATATGGAAATTCATTCCCCTGTCAAAATTTAGTATAATATTGACTTTTTATTGTTGACTGGTATATCTGACTTAACAGGTTTTTTCATCACATATACAAACTATGGTACCAAAATGAGTTAGTTATAGAATACAAACCTGAACAGTAATAGAAACAGCAGTCAGTGAAGTGAGATAGAGTGAACTGACAGTGGAGACAATAATCAGCTTCTGAGTCAGAAGTTTGCCAAAGTTGGGTGCTGATTGCGTGATCCTGCAGGACAATGTAGCCGGAAGGCATGCCTGTCATGGTGGATAGATGGGGAATCATCACCGAGTAATGAAGACCCCACCAAATCAATACAAACTGTCAGATCCATCGGCATGGATGTCTGAAGGGTAGATTGTCATGCACACAGTGTTCGCACTGTGATGACAAGATGTCAGGAAGAAGGGCTGGACTCATCAGTTTGCTTATTGATTTGTCTTCCAGGCGGAACCAACTCATACAGACAATCTAACACTCGACTTACCTGTCTGAAGAAATCTAGAAATCTTCATGTTCTGCTACCTTAACCCATATTTGACTATGATGACCACCTAGAAGTATCAGACTGAGTGTAAGCATCCCTCAAAGCAACAAGACTTTCATTGCTAGAATTAGCTAATCTCGGTGCAATTGAACTGTTTAGTTGTTAAAAACTTTCAGGGACAGAGTCATCTGTCCTTTTTTCACTGTGGACTATGATGCAATATTGCCTAACTTTGCTTACATTTATGTCATCATTCCTCCTCGACTCCCTGGATCTAAATGATTAAAACAACAGGGGAGCATGGATAAGTTTTGCCTACATCATCATCATCATCATGTATGATAAAATGTCCTATTGCTCCCTGATACAGTCTAGAACCAAGGAGGTGATAACCTTCTTGTATAAACTGTGTTAACCCTTGACCAAAAGTTGTAATTGTACCCCCGCTAGGTGCTGTATGTGCTACAGGTGTATCAGAATGCTGATGATGGGAAGGCAGGGATCGTCTCGCTGGCAGAATATCTCCTTACCCAACCACTGCTCTCCTTTGCCATTGCGGATGCTTCCCTGCGTAAGTTCAAGTCTGTCAATGCAGAGGTGGAGGTGGAAGAGGACATGACTGGAGGTATAGCAGCTGTTTGTTTGATTTTAATGTTAACTGCATGTCAGTAAAGTGTCTGAGATTGGTCATTTTTTGGTCACCATGTCACCAACAGTAAGATGTGTGATTTTTTTTATAGATAAACAATCATGTGTTATTAATGCCAGACAGCTTTGAAAAATGGGTCAAAAGGAGACAACCTTCCAATCACTTATAATGCTGTCTGCAGTTAGGCAATGGGAGGGATGAAGCTTCAACTGTTACTGGAACAGTGCTGACAGGGCTGGAATGCCCCCTATCAAAATGGAATAGCACAACAAGTATTCTGCAGGTTTCTTCTTGACAATCTGTTGTTGGGCTTATGAACACAACAGAAGAGGAGTAATGGAACCATGAATTGTAGCATTGTTCATTTTGTCGCTTTTAATGTTTGGTTTGTTTGGGAAGGCAAAGAAGAGCTTTATGATATTGCGCAGTAATTACCGTATGCACTAATCCTGTATCCATGCCTGTACACCATGTACAGGTGAGGGCGACCATTCAGCTTCAAGTGACACCGGTGTTCTCCTGAAGCTGTTCTGTGTTCACACAAAGTAAGTTGTCAATTTACTGTCATTGATACTGCTTTCACGTAAAGCAACATTTTACAACATATTATGCAGTCCTCTCACTAATACTAGTAGTTCAGGTCCATTGTGGTACCTTGAGCCCTAGTCTTGTACTCTGCTCTCAATTATAAATGTACTGGTAAATTTTAGGTGATTATGACAAGTCACCCTCAATTTTATGAATCTGTAGATAAAGTATTTTTGGAATAAATCATCCAGCAGATATTTTGTTATGAAATATCAATGCTGACAATGGTTTTTGATTACTCCAATGTTAATGGCATTTTGTAGCTCTGGCCAACATTTGCCCGCTCAATTTAGAAAAAAAATCAAACTATGACAGATCTTATGGTGCTATAATGAAAATTGGCTGTTCCGTCATTTCCCTTTATTTGATTGGAACGTAGACTGGTAACTGTTTCCTGAAGCTGTGGCCAATAGAAACCTGCAGTTCTGATGAAGCCTCCAACCTCGGGCCTGTATTTACCGGGCTATTAGAAATGATGAGCGTGTTTATCTGTTTGGTAATACGCTCTTGAAGCCTGCCTTCTGAGATAATGCCTATTACTCTGAAGCTAAATAGATGCAGTGATTATATGTGATCAGTTTCAATCCTCAGGAGGCAAAGTATCAAGGTCATACAGAGAAACATCCAATGTCAAATACACATGTAGTAATTAAAATTATTACCAGTTCACTTGAAATGATACCTAAAGTGTGTGAAACAACAATCATTTTGTGTAAGTTAGGACATACTGGTATTTGATCAAAGCTCATTCAGAGGATATGTATCATGCAGTCATGATTTGAAGCACACAGGTAAACTATTATCTCGCCATCAGACATCAAGGTACACATGTTACTGAATCATTTATGAGCATTTTTGACCAGCTTACCCAGACTATTGCTGCAGTGTACAACAGAGAGGCTCAGCAGTTGACCTTCTGAACCCAAAACCTTGTTAGCTGCAATGTAATCAGTTACTGCAGGTTTTACGGTTGCTTTGTAGCCAGAGGTAGAATAACCCAATCTTTATTGCTGTTTCAAGACTAAGGGTTGTTCCAACTAGAATGGAGGGTATCTCACAGCTTCTCTCCTGGGAAGGTGTTGTCATCAAGACTGGCAACCTGGCCCACGGTTAATCGGGCTGTTTTGAGTTTGTGTGATTGGATTGGCTTTCCAAATTAGCAGGTAGCGGATGGTTAAGTGTGATTGTGTTGGTGGCAGTGTGGGCCATGTGAGGTGATGAACTGAGGGTTGTAAAATTTTATCATGGATGTGTGTGTGTCCTACATGAGGTGAGGGGAAACCCATCATGGGTAGGGATGTAAAATCTTAAGGTCATCATGATGCACATTCATGTACATGTACAACATGTGCCCATAGAGACTCCTGTACATGACCTGGATTCTAGTCGTGTCTTTGCTTCTTTTCCTCACCATCATCTCTGCCTTTCCAGGTCCCTTCAGGAATTACAGGTCAGGTTCAAGCCAGCCACAGGCTCTCCACGGCCACATCAGCCACAGTCTATTGGCTCAGTCTCACAGGATGACATAGGTATGTGTCTTACCATCATATTGCTGTTACCATAATAGCCAGATTGTTTGCATAAAGCTATCAATCAGGAGATTTTGACCAGTTACGCAAGACTGCTTTAAGAATGTAGAATGTCATAAAAACATTTGATGGGGCTGCATGTATTTAACTACAGAATATAATATGATCTCTCCCTCATGCAGCCTAGTGCATTCCTTTAGTTAAATGTTGAACACTTCTATAAAACGATGACATAACACTTTCCTTGGACATGTTGTTACATGATTTTAATAGGTGCATAACTGTTGTTTACATCAAAGAGATGTATGAGTAAGTTCCCTTCTCTCTCCATCCCACAGCATTGCGAGATGGTCTATCTGACATGAGTGTAGAAACTCTGACAGATGCTGAGGGGTCAACATCTGACCTGAGAGGTGAAGGGTCACAGGCTAGTCCAAGTGTTCTGGAGGGGAGAGCAGACCGAGAGGGGACACCTGTAGCAGAGGAAACAAGTCCTCCACCAGAAGACAATGCTGAAGAGCCCATGCTTCTCACTCCTGCTGCATTCACACATGGTAGTGCATCAAAACCACCATCTTTGAATTGCCCTAGAACAAAATTATAACAGACCTTTTACTGTGTCCTTACTGGTATAATGTTACATTTTACATTTTGTACATGACATGACAAAATTCTGAATTTGCAACTATGCTTCTTCAACTGTTTTAACATAGATCTTTTGAACTGCATAAATTTTAAGATAGTAGTGTGAGATGGAATTAACAATAAAGCCCATAAAGTCATCTCTTAGTATGTAAGCTTGGTCACACATAATGACTCAACTTACATGCTTCTGTCTTTCCCAAGCAGAAAGAGGAGACCACACCATGAGAAGTAGTGGCTCCAGCATGAGCAGTTTCACTGCTGTGACTCCCATGGGGAATTCTGTGGCCAACTCCCTGGATGGCAGCGCCTCTGCTCAGAGTGCAGCTGAACTGCAGGACCTTCTCCAGGCTTCTCCGGAGAGCTCTCTGACACTGACGCCAACCTCAACCAAGCAAGGTTAGTAACTCACCACCCAAAACTATAACAATGGTAATGGGATTTCTGTATTCATAATGTAATTATTGTTCTTTCCATTGCATTGTGTGACATTCTGTTGTAGTAACATATTGCTTATTCAGGTTGCATTATTCTCTTTCCCCAGGAACACCAGATGGTCCCAGCCACGTCCCCACCCCCACCACCCTGCCCCTGCCTCCTCTCTCCCCTCCAGAACAGAAGCCCCTCCCCGCAGCTGTCCACGCCCGCTCCCCGGACCTCATCTCCTCCACGTCCACCTCCACGGACACGCCGGCCGCCTCCGCCGAGGCGTTAGAGCAGATGTTCCAGCAGGAGAGCCAGCCCAGACCGCCCAGCTCCGGATCCAGTCTGGAGGAGGTTTTGTCTCCCAGGCTCAGGGGGGCAGAGGGAATGTCACCCAGGGGCCGACCTGAGGTGTGCTGGTCTTTTACATACCTATACCTTTGTAGTCTGAACCAGGATACTTTAGAAAGCTAGAAACAGATTTTTATTTATTTTCTAAGTAGATTTACAAGTAGACCTTGTCCTGAGGAGCAAATGATAATTGACATGGAGAGCAGAAGCAGAGCACACAATGTCAAATATCATTGCCAAGTGTCCATCTCTATCCCACTAGGTTGCTGAGGAGGCAGAGGGGGCCACAGGAGGGGAGGAGAGACCAGACTCTGGGCATGAGCAGGTACAGGACGACTATGGGCTCCGGTGGCCTCGTGCACCAGACATCACCATGGAAACGGCGCGGGACCGAGCCCATGCAGAAGAAGCCAGCAGGACTGCACAGCCAGAACTGGTGGCCAGTCAGACAGGCAGCCCACCCAGGGAGCAAGACCTGCATAGTGTGCAGCCCAGTTTAGGCAGAAGGTATTTTCATACCAGTGTTATATTTTGGTCAGTTTCATGCATTTTATTTCCGTACCACAGCATTATCACAGCAGAAAAGTGTGCAAAAGGGAAAGATACGCAATATCAGACATCAGTTTGGTGCTCCTTTATAGATATAAGTCAAAAAGCATCTTAAGCCTGATTGAGGCCTTTTTTCTCAAGAAATGTTAGAATATGCTCTTCACTTTATCCCTGCAGCCCAGAACTGCAGGGAGCTGCTGCTGCTCTCCCCACCGCCCGCCATGACCAGGTGTTACCAGGCAGGTCCACCCCTCCCAAAACAACCTCCCCCAGGGTACACAGAACAGAGGAAACCTACAGGGAAGTGGCATCCCCTAGAACACCACCCAAGAGGCAGGCAGCTGAGGTAAGAATATGTGACAGTCTCTACCTGTCTATTGTGTGTCATTTTTACTGTACCTGTCACTGGAAACTGTGGAAGTTAACTTTTCAGACATCAATTGTATGTTTATAACAGACAGATAAATGTTGACAGTGTGCATGACAAGAATTAAAAATCACATTATTTTAGATGAACAAATTTGGAGCTTCAGGGCTTCAGCATGTCATACAACCAGGGCCTGCCACATGCCTGAGAGGCTAGTTCATCATTTTGTCAGGCTGAGTTAAATATATTTATCAAACTCCCTGCACAGGTATCGTCAGCCCAGTTGGAGCAGGTTCTCTTGTTGCTACGGCAACAGCAGCAGGAGTTGGAGCAGCTGCGGGGAGAGGTGCAGGCGCAGCAGGTGGCCAGCCAGGCAGCCCTGACACAGGCTGTCACACAACAGCTCAAACAGCTGCACATGTCAACAGGAACCTCTGTGGACAAGGCACTGCATCAGCATGCACAGGCAGAGAGTATCCTTCTGTTGTAGGGATGTGGTCTGATCTTGTACGGGCACATCCTGTTTGAGTATCTATAAAATCTACCTTTCCTTTAGGTGGCAAAAAAAATAATGTTACCCAGGAAGGTAGTTGTGTACTGTCTACATTTTTTACATGATTCAGTGTATGTTCATGGTAGCAAAATTTCACAGTCTGAGAAAAATTGAGGTGTTCACGGTGGGATAAGAGGGGAAGGGGGAAGAAAGACAAATAATTAATTAGTGGTAATGATAAGTTAACTGTACGAAAGTGACCATGAAAACCGCAAACATGAAAGTACAGTGAAAAGATCAGGAATTACAGTACTGTACTACGACAGACTCATGTCGTGTTGTCATGGTTATGTTGTATCAATGAGAAATGTATTACACCAGTATCCTTGAGGCACGAGGTTCCTTAACCAGACTCCCCAGGGAAGCGTCTGGACGAGGCTCTGCGTGAGCGGCAGGATCTGGACAAACAGAAGCAGGAGCGCCTCCTGTCCACGGTCTCCCAAACCCTCAACTCCTCCATCACCTCCAAACTGGAGAAGTGTGTCAAACAGGAGGTCAAGAACAGTGTTCTCCCAGGTCTGGACAGGAACTGTTTTGTTTAAAGAGACATTGTGTTTGCATGCATGTACATGTATCTGCACGGACTCTACTTCAGTCTCTAATACAGTCACTGTATCCATAATACACTATGCATGAGTGAGAGATGCTTCCTCAATGTACATACTGTCAAGGGACAGATCTATAATGACAATGCCTTTTAAAGGTGGATTAAAGAATATTACAGCAATTTGATTGGATTGTTGACAAATTTCCCAATCTATTGAATGGTTGCTAAACAGTATATTTAACTTCTTGAGATAAATGATTACTGTTTTCAACATTACGAAGTGACTGTTCTCTCTCATGTTACAACAATAGCTGTGACCAAGTCCCTGGACCCAGTGAAAGACCAGTTGAATGTGACCCTGGCACAGAAGCTCACGGCTACAGATTCACTCATGAAGGAAAATATCTCCAAGTTGGTCCGGGCAAAAGTATGTATCTTTCTCTGTTTATTAGTTAGTGTATAAAATTTGTTGTTTTTGGTATAAACTAAAAGCAATTCAAATAAGGTTACATGTTTCAAAGATATGAAATGTTCTTCCTAACCCTCTGTCTGCAATCGTACCCATCCAGTCTACTGTAGAGGCCATCGGTCAGTCTGCAGCCCAGGCTATCCAGGGTCCAGTCCAGGCTGCCTACAAGGATGCCTTCCAGTCCACCGTAGTGCCCATGTTTGAGAAGGCCTGTCAGTCCATGTTCCAACAGATCAACGACACTTTCCAGAGAGGCACCCAGGACTGTAAGTACTGATGGTGGTCACTGGAGGTGAAGAATTTGCAGAAAATGATAGTGTGTGTAGGAACAAAAGATGGAGATATACAAAAAATGACCACGAACCCGGTCCAATAATATTGACATATACAATGCTAGTGTGTTTAAACTGGTCTATATCTACAGCATAAAGAAGAACTGTTCAGTATTGATGATTTACAGTGAATTTTTTTGCAGTTAAATTTTACTGTGTAGTTTGCTGTAAACATGATGCTTCAGGCTGTTAACTGAAATCCCATGGTATTTTACTATTCAGCATTTCTGCAAGTTGTATGCTATCTGTTGTTTCCCGTAGACCTGCAGCAGCTGGAGGTACACCTGGCACAGCAGCGGCAGAGACAGCAGCAGGAGCGGGACCCAGTCCTGACCCAGCTGCAGGGCCTGGTGGAGACCTTCAACAGCAGCGCCTCACAGCTGCAGGACGGCATCACTGCAGGGGTCAAAGTTGAGCTGGAGAGCCAGCTCCAGTCCACCATACTCAAGCAAGTCCTTAACTTTTACTCTTGGGCTTTATAACACCTAGTTTTTTCCCAATTTTTTTCTTGTGCTTTATAACACATTTTTTGCTCGTATTAAAAAATTTTTCCCCAAATGCTCTATGGCTCTGTAAGATATTGTCTTAGTCATGTTTCTGTTTTTTCTGTCTCTTCAGTATGCAGGATGTTCTGATCTCCCAGGTGCGGAGAATTGTAAGAGAAGAAGTTTCCACAGCACTGAAGGAGCACCAGGCAGCACTAGGGGAGAGTGTGGTGCAGGCCATGAGATCCAGAAATGTCACACCAGTACCCACACCACAGGCAGACACACAGCAGTTACAGATGCAGATTATGGCACTGCTCAGGCAAGGCCAGTTCAACACTGCATTCCAGCAGGTACGGGTATAAGTTTCCTTTACTCAGTTACTCATTCAAAAATAGGTCTTTGCTCTATGCAGTCTGTACATGTGAAATCTTCAAATGGGGTCGTATCTTTAACTCAGTTTGTGCTTGATCCTGGGGTTTGATTTGGTTTGACAATTTTAAGATGGACATTTGGGGTCATTAAATCCTTATTTTCCTTTTTGTCAATTTTTGCTCAGTCAAAATGGAGACCAATGTGGAATGTGTTTACTGCTGAAATAAACGTGCAGTACAATAGATTTTGCAGACCTTGTCAAACAACTACATAACCATCATATGTTGATGTGATTGTTTCCTGTATCTACTGCAGGCTCTGACAGCCTCTGACCTGAGCCTGGTGATGTTTGTGTGTGAGGCCGTCAGCCCCGCCCAAGTCTTCAGCCAGACCCCGTGTCCCCTCCAGCAGCCTGTCCTGCTGTCACTCATCCAGCAGCTGTCTGTGGACCTGACACATAACACAGAACTCAAACACAGGTAATACTGTCTGTGGACCTGACACATAACACAGAACTCAAACACAGGTAATACTGTCTGTGGACCTGACACATAACACAGAACTCAAACACAGGTAATACTGTCTGCGGACCTGACACATAACACAGAACTCAAACACAGGTAATACTGTCTGTGGACCTGACACATAACACAGAACTCAAGCACAGGTAATACTGTCTGTGGACCTGACACATACATGTAACACAGAACTCAAACACAGGTAATACTGTCTGTGGACCTGACACATAACACAGAACTCAAACACAGGTAATACTGTCTGTGGTTTGAAAAAAAACAGATACTGTTATTCAAGCAACTGGATATAATTTTAGAAACTGTCAGATGTTATTACTTTGTCCCTAAAGATATTTCATCAACATCATAATTTACAATGTTTTGTATGTTTCTTTCTGCAGGTACCTTGAAGAGTCAGTGATGAACCTTGACCTCACACACCCTGTCACATGTGACCATGCTGCGGTTGTCCTCAGTGCGCTGTGCAAGAAGCTTAATCTCTTCATCCAGTCAGAGCCCAACCATAAGATGATCAAGAACATGCGCATGTTAAACATGGCTGCTCAGTCACTCATGAAGTAACAGCAGCCAATCGTCAGCAGGTCTGGAACCGCCGTCACCAGTCAGATTTAAGTTCAAAATTACTTCAGCCAACCAGATGCTGACAGCAGTTAAACCAGCCAATCAGATTCAGTCATAGAAAAAGCAAGGTTATCACATTGTCATTCATTCAGGCAGCTTGTAACAAACAGATACTGTAAATGGGATGCACCTTATGTCGCAGAAGATACGAAGGTAAACAGAAGTCCTCTAGAACGTATATTTTCCTCTTTATCTCCAGCGTACAGCAAAATGTTGATACCTGATGGTAGTGGGATGTGATGTCTGATCGATTCATGGATTCTATCAGATGAACATACTAGTGTGGAAATACTGTTAGTGTTCAACATGATATAGCAACCTTCCATCTACCTGTCACCTTGCAGTAGTGAAACATCCAAAGAGCAATTCAAGAACATATTTTGCTATCATAGGTTAAAGTGTTCTGCCATGCCTACTGTTTTATCTTGTTTGTTAAACTGACGTACACAATAACAGCAAGCAATCATGTGAAAGGAGATTTGAGTACTGTAAGAGGACTACTGTTCAGCTTCTTACATTTTCCTCATCCTGCCCCCTTTGTTTAAGGACTTTATAAATGAAGATATGACAATAATGAAGAGCTTTCTTTTTTTTTTCAAGAGAGCTAGACAGTCTCAACAGAGACATACAAACTGCAATGCAACTTTTCATAAGTCATTTCAAAGAGGAAGAAATACCGGGTACCAGATCTCAGCACACTTTTTGTTCCACAAGTTCCACAACATTTCGTTTTGTCCCAAACTGTTCTTAAAAAGATTAATAGTATGTTGAGTTAAAGTCTTCAAGCATTCTTTGGAAGAAGGTTGGAAAGCAACCTATTTATATGTTCTTGTCTATACCTTTGTTGTTTATGATGAAGAATACCATCTTCACAACAGAAGTACTTATAGGATTGGGCTAGCAACAACTTTGTATCATGTTTCTCAGAATAAAACTTTGGAAAATGTGTCTTGTTTGGTCATTTTTGATAGTTGAGTTACCTGGAGATACAGTGTAGTTAAATTATTTGTAGCAAGCAAGTTGGTTGGTACATCATTTAAATTGTACGTGTTCAGATATTATGTAAAACATGTACTTTCTTCCTCTGTTTTTTTTTTAAACTTTGGACTAGATAAGAAATGTAAGGGGAGCATCAAGCTTGCCACTAAGAAAATACTACGATCTTCCGACAATAACCCAACATCTGCATTAAGACCTTAGCCGATAATCTCCAAGCAGATGTTAACGGAGGCTAAAACTCCTGATTCCTTAAGACAACTTGGCCTCTTATGCATTAATTGTTCCTCCGTTTATATAATGAACACCTGGATACTAGAACTTCTGTGTATAATTTGTGTGATGGTTGTAAAGATAATTGAACACGCAGAAGTGACAGAAGCACACTATTGGTGAGTGAAGGTACAGCACCTGGTCACTTAAAAATAAAACTTAATTCACGAAACACTTCTGCTCAGAGATTAGTGTAAGGACATGTACAAAAGACAATTCATCCATTCTTGAATATAAACTGATGTAAGATTTGTCCTTTGTTACAGACTGATGTAAGATGATACCTGTGTTTCAGACTGCTGCAAGACACCTCCAGTGTTACATCACACGGCCATCAGTGGAAGTTGTGTCGCCTCAGATTACCCACCTGTTACCAAACCTTTGACATGGTCTGTCACAGTAGTGGGGCACCACAGAGGAAATTCTGACATGCCTCATAGTAGCTGGTCTGTTCATGAGCATTGGCATTTCCTGCGAAGTGTCTTGCTCTCCCTTCCATGTTCCTTATACTGTCCTTATAGCACAATGTCTTTGAAGCCAGAATGAACATGCCACAAGGGAGATCAGTCACCTCAGATGATCTGTCAACCATAACTATGCGTGTATAATTTATATCCAGTAACCTAAGATATCTAAAAATTTATCTCAACAGTTTTTCAGGCACACAGACAATGCAGCACTTGTGCCACATTGCACATGGTTGAATTGAAGATAAACACAAAGAATCCATGCTATGATTTTATTATTACAACAATAAACACTATGAGACTTTTCTATAGAAGCCAGATTATTCTGAACTCCAAATCAAAATCACCTTTTGTATCCTGGGCAGGCCCCTTCCTGTACAGGCACACCCCCTCCCTGCCCCCATCACATGACTCTGACTCCCACAGTAGGGGATTCCCCCTTACACAGCCCACCATCATGTAACCACCAGGTGAGCTTGCATCATCTTGGGTGAAGTCAAATGTACTAAGGGTAATTCCACTACATGTGACTCATGTGTATTTTGGGGGATGACCTATACAGGAGACAAGAATGAACATGTTTGCCCGGTGGAAATTTTACCCTTGATATCTCAAAGACAGTCATCATACCCTTTCCTGTAAGCATAGTACATGTATCTGGCAAATTCCATGTGATTTGTGGGTGCCTCAATTTTATAACAATTTATATTACTAGTATATCTACCTAATGTACATGTGTTGGGAATATTTCTAACCCTATTACCATAATGTCTCCTTTATATAGCTCTATTAAATATAAATGTAGCTGTTCTGATAGCATAGAACCAACCACATTGCTCTACCAGTCCAACTTGGTGCCATACAGCACACTTCAAGTGCTTGGGGCTTACTTATCTCAAACTGTTAGGAATTGCCTCCATATCCAACTTGGCTGTAACTACTTCATACTTTATAGCTCAACCAGCTGTTTCTTATCACAGTCCCTGGCCTTTTCACCCTGCCTGAAATGAACTCTGACCTCCTTCAGCATACACCAGATGGGAGGATTAAAGTGAAGGTCAAGGTTCTAGAAGGCTCTAAACTTTGGCACAGATTTGACAGAACCATGCAGAGAACGTTGGCACAAAAACAGACAACTGCTGTCAATATATATGTCCTAGATCATGTACTTACTGGCCACTTTTATGAACATAAAAACAGTTTAACTGAACTGAGCTAGTGGTTTGATAGAACCTTACTACAGCCAGGTCACATGCCTCGACATGTGTGTAAAATGAACCTTGTCCTCGAAATTTTCACTCACAATGGTTAACTGGCAATGATTTATAGAGGTGCAAACACCAGCGACCCTTTTTTTTATCAAGTCAGCAACTCATTATGACTGTAGTAAAGGTATATTACCCTGAGCAGAGCAGGAACTGCCACAACTGCCAATCGCACAGAGACACATCAAAAATTATGTTACTGAAAAGTATGCAAGTCATCTATGGAGCTGGTTATGGGTCTTTTATTAGTATTTACTCTTTTTATTCCTTCCAATCAACCAGGCTGGGACTAAGTTCACTGAACACACTCTCTCAGTCACCATTTTGACCGACACACAGAAAAAGTACCACACATGAGGTCTGGTTAGAACAATAAATACATCACACTTTATTCACTATTTGTCATAATCGCACATCAGACGATTTGTAATGAAGAAGATACTTAAACACTACTTTCGATATAATATAGTTATGATATTTGGCCCTAACGGCATATCTAGCCTTTCTACAACACACCTTACACTTCAGCACAAAAAAGCATCTCCAGACTTCAAAGCAGTGCCTTTGAATAAGCTGGATTGTCTTATAGAACGTTTACACGTCAAACAAGTGATTTGTTCATTAAACTGAGTATAGGGAATATATAGCAGTCTATATAGGTAAGTCCGATCTGATACTTTTAATCGGATACGTTCTTTCGAAGATGGTGATCGACACGACTGCATGCGGCCACAGGCTGTGCTGCGTAGGATGTCACATGGCCGGCAGGTTTGGCGTGAAGCTTCAGTTGCGGCTTGCGTTGCTCCCGCGGGCAGCACTGACATTGGTGAAGAGGGACTTGAGGGTGTCAAGCTCCTTGGTCAGAAGTTCCACCCGCTTCTGGAGCTTCTCGTTCTCCTGCTGAAGTTCCTGGACCTGAGGGGAATGAACAAAGAACTGTCAGCCACAAACACACCTATGATCCACTGTGTCTCTATCTACAATATACTTCCAAATTCAACACAAGAAAATATCCATGTCAATCAAGGTAACGCAAAGGAAAACTATGATAGTCATCACTTGTTACTAGTTAAGCTACCACCTGCCTTACAGGTGAACTATGGATGATAACCTGAGCAGCAGTGAGTGAGTGGGAGATGCACACCTTTTGCTGAGTTTCCAGATTACGCTGTTTGGCCTTCTCACGCGACTTCCTGACCGCAACGTTGTTGCGCTGGCGGCGTGTGACGTACTCCTCAGTCCCCTTCTGCAGGGCCCTGCGTCCACCACGAGATGACTGCGCCTTTCCGGGTGCTGAGGGAGGTACAAAGGACAGGTTAGATATGTCAGTCCAACATTTACAAGACATATGGTCGCTAATATAGGATAACATGATGGAGGTAATGGTATTGTCACTTTCGCATCTGCAAGTACTAGTATGTTTTGTGTCTTGACCTTGAGGATACTAGTACTTGTGTCAAATGAACCTCATATGGTGCTACTGCCTTGTGTCCCAGCTTCCTCCTCACCCTGTGACCTATGGTACTAGTGTTAGCACAGAGGGGCGTGTTGGGGGTGTGGGCCCCATCATCCACCGGCTTTCCCGGAAACGCTATACCTAAGTACTTTCTCTTGTATGGGGAAATTACTTGGAAGATTAAGGCTTGAATACAAAAACAATCTAACTACATAAAGCCTCTTTTCATAGTCTCTACAAATTTTACGTGATACTATCAGAATAATCTACTGATCTAAGCATCACATGGAGTCTGCCCGGGTACAAAGGGTACGTGACCGGCATGGGAACTATTACCACGTGGCGCAGTTTGGCGTCCTACGAGTTATTCCGTCCAAAAATTATGCTTCATTCACCGTCATATAAAATGGAGTACTGATTCTGAAAGATCCTGCTACCTGGTTTGTTCTCCGATGGCGATCCAATCGGACTCCTGGTCGAGCCGTGAGAGGAGGCCGAGTACTCCTCCTGTAGGTAGACGGGCTCTTCCTTCACCGGCACCGAAGCGATGACCGGGGTGGCTGCGGTGGTGGTGGTCGGGGTGTTTGTGGCCGGGGCTTCCGTCGACTCGGACGTGAGCTGCGGCATGTAGCTGTCGTCCAGTGTGTCAAACGGCTCGGGCAAGGCCTGAGGTGTTACAGTTGGGGTCGCTCCGGTGTCTGATGGCTTGGGGAACTTGTCTTTGTCCAGATCGCTCTTGGAGAGTCCCAGCTCGGCCAGGAGGTCCTCTCCGCCGGAGTCCAGGTGCCAGCGCTTCGCACTTTCCTGGGAAAAGAGGGAAGTGACAGTCAGTACAGGGAATTAAAAATATGTCATTTAGTCATATATTGTCTTCTTCGTTTACTGTTCGTCTTAGTTTTGTAAAAATCTTACGAAGTGGCTAGTGGTTCTGTACCATATGCACAAAGGACACGTAAACGTTACTTACTATGGGTGGGATAGGTGAAATTTCACAAGATCGAACCTTACAAATACTGTGACATACCTGGATGTAAACACTCAAATCCACGGAGTCCTCGCCGTCACAAAGTGTACTGAGGTCCGGGAAACTCTGTTCGCGCTCGAAAGTGAAGACCGTTTTCTGCTTGCCACTGGATTCCAGTTCATAGAAGTTCGCGGGAGACGAGACCGGAGTAGGGTCCATCTCTGCGCGGTGACATGACTGATCCTGGCCGAATGAGAAGTCGTGGAAAGCCGTGGTTTCTGTTGGGAACGTAATAAAACCTTCTCGGGAATGTATAGTGTCGGCAGGATCGTATTGTCCGGCCGAGTAACTAAAAATGCCGCTGATTCTGCGAGAATTTACGGAAAGAGTTCTGGGGTCGCTCATCCAAGTACCGGTGATTTCGCAACAAGAATGTAGCCGGGTGACGGCCGCTCGATTTGTAGCAACGTCACTGGTCGCTTTACTTAATTTCTTCTTTATACTCATCCGCACATCTTAATTCCCCAAATCTGATAGCTAGGACAGAAAAACCACATCAAGTATTATAAATAAGTTGTTTCGGTCTTTTCATAGACATGAAGATATAAATAATGTTTCTACTGCGTTGTAGTTTTGACGTTTCTTGAAGGACTTTTTTGTATAGCGGAAGGGCCATCTCTAAATGAGGTAATGTAGCCCTTGTAACATCCGGGACTTTTTGTCTAAAAATAATCCTTACGTCACGCTGTCGAGCTCTGATTGGCTGAATGGGTTGTGGCAATGACCCGGATGTAAAGAAGCTCAGCAACTCTCTAGAAACCTTTTTCTCTCTGGAAAAAATTAAGACGTTTCTGCTGCTATTTTGCAAGAACAAATAAGTACACATGGTATAGTTTTAGATGAAGTTTTGCCCTTATCCAGTTTACGGCGTAAGATTGTGAAAGGCGCGAAAAATATTGGCCAATCAGCTTGTAGATTGCACAAGCAGGGTAGTGATGATGCAATGACATACTATGCAGCCTCTGATTGGCCAACATGGAAGGCATGCGTCCTGCAGAAGGAGTTGTTTTGAGCATGGCTATGGCACTGGCGAGGTTGTAGCTTGTCTAGGAAGATTTTCTCCAGTTACACGCTGTGTTCTTGGATAGTTTTACTACGACAGTATATTTCAATAACTAGAGAACATCTGGAGGTGTTTTGGCACGAGAAAGCGACGCGGGACGCTCTCCAACGGGCCCAGAAAAAAGGTGAGCTCGCCACCCACGCCCGCCCTGCCCCCCTGTGTGTAAACACGTTGGCGGGATCGGTAGTAACATCGCATGTACAAACGGTAATAATATTTGTTTCTTCTCCAGTTTACTTAATGTGTCAGCTGAATTTTTTATCAGGTCAACAAGAACTACACACGAGTGATTAAACCGTGCCATAACATAAACCTTTTTTACTCAGATATCGGTATATTTCATCACCGTAGTGCGGTTCTTTTCTCATGTAGAAATTTAAATTTGCAATGGGCCCCGCCTTTAATGCATTGCTGACCCTATCTAGGGTGAATGGGGCAGACGATGGGGTTTGTGTGTTTCTGGGCGTTTATTTCGAGTTTGGACGTGACTTATGGTCTGTATATCATCAGGACGATATCCATCTTAAATCAACGATCGCATTTCATTGCTGATGCCATCAGAAATGTTGCATTTAGACAGCTAGACATGGCCCTATTTAGACGATTCGTATTTTAACGTTACGACATTTCAGCATGTGTGACATGCCCACTTTTCGGATCAGTTTCCTCCGATATTTAGCCGGATTGTCCGTTCAAATGCCCCATTGGAATGCCCTAGATGTTATGACCGTTTCAAACGCTAACATATATCAAAACCTATGGGTAAAACATCGACTGTAGTCAGCCCTTATAGCGGGGAATTTGAAAGTAAATCGTGGACCATGCTAGCCTGTTTGTTTACAGAACTGGTATGATGTAACGCCTCCCAGTTGGGTGCGTGTCAGATGTCAGTGGGGCGCACGTGGTTGTATGAGTATACGTACTTTCTACCCATTCCGATTGTTTTCCTGATCAAACGAACCAGGATGTACATGCATTTAAGACCAAAATATAATGTGTACCATACGCTACATGAATCCAGGTGATTCTCTTTAGATTTTCAAACATTTGTCTTCTGGTTTTGGGTGAAAGACTACATCTTATTGAAAATTATGTTGGTCACTTCCTGAATTATGATCGTCTGAACAATAATGAATTTTACTGCTCATCTTTGCCCTTGTATCCTTTTTGCTGATAACTTTCATGTGCATTCCTGTCATATTTCTACAATTTCGTCCTAAGTGACTCCTCTTTTTGTCCCAAATCAAGAACTTATTACATTTTTAAACTGCAAATGATTATTGCTCATTTAACAATTTAAAGCTGATCTTAATTGGGTCATAGGTACACATGAATCGTACTAGTTATATAAAAATTTTTTTTTTTCATTTCTTATCTTTTTGTCATTTGTGACATTGTCTGTTGTTTTTTTCAGGTCTGCATCAATTTGGGTGTTTGATCCCTGCTGTGTTGAGGTAGAAAGTGTTGTACATCTAGGATCTGTCTGTCAAAAGGGCCAGATTACCTCCAAGCTTCATGGCGGATGTGGATGTGAAAAGTGAGCCTAATGACTCAAGTGATAGTAGCCCAGGGTCACCCCCTGTCCTTAGCCCGGGTACTGCATCTGGTGGCAGAAGGGGCGGTGGAAAGGCATCCAAGAAGTACCTGCATGACAAGAATAGCGACGAGTACCGCAAGCGACGTGAGCGCAACAACTTGGCGGTGAAGAAGAGCCGCGATAAGAGTCGCCAGAAAACCCAGGAGACTCTCCGTCGCGTGCAGGAGCTGAAGGAGGAAAATGAGCGTCTGGAGCTCAAGATCAAAATCTTGTCCAAGGAACTTAGCGTACTGAAGGATCTTTTCCTGTCGCATGCTGGCAGCTTGCCGGGGGAGGACGCCCCATGCCTTCTGGGGGGAGTTACCGCAGCACCCCTCCCCCTGCCCACTCCTGCTGAGGGAATGGAAACAGAAAGCTCATCCACTGCGACTACTGCCTCCAACATTTCTCGATCAAATGGGACTATCAATGCCACAGTACGAGAAGTAGCAGGGATACTTCAGGGTCTAGCTGTGCCAGTTAGGGCAAATAACCAGGCCGTTCTGAATGACCATGAGTATGCAACCACTGTGAAGTCATAGCAGTGTCGTAGGTACATGTGTGCAAACACTTGTACTTAGTTGCTTATCCCATGCTTCAATGTTTATTCCATAGCTTGCCTAGAAAGGATTAGCTTTAGATGTTATATTGGGTAAGAGGCAATGGAAGTAAGCTTTCAGCATTGTGACCTTTGCTAAACAGATATTTTTGCAGTTGTCAGGCAAAAGCACATTACCGGTAAAATGAAATGCCACTATAATACGACCAGATGGTGTAGAATTTGACAAATGTATTTGTAACCCTGCTCAAAGCAGTCTTTCAATAATTATGATGTAAGAGTGTAGTTAAAATGGGTTGTAATGTTTTCAGTACTAAAATTGTCACACAAAAGCCAGCACCTGATAGCCATCGGGATGCTAATTTCCACTATTGTTGAATCATGGAAAACCTTTGTGTGTGTGACACCAAAAAAAGGTAAACACAAATTATGATGAAGATTTTTTGTTTGTCAGTAATACACTATACAAACTCTCAAAAGTCCAACCATTCATGGCAATTGGCAACACTTATTCAGTGACAGGACAAACACAAAAAGCATTACTATACTGGAGATGCCACTGTGGTGTACTTGTGGAGAGGGTAATATAAGATTGACATTTAAAAATACTGCACTGTTGAGTTCATTGATTGACAAAGCACTCAACCATATATCTTTTCTTGCTAAGATGGCAGTGTTATGTGTTATCACTTTACATTAAAACAATCTTGGTAACGACAATGAAGTCAGCACATATGTACCCAAAGGTTTTGTGAATAAGGTGAGGTAGAGTC